GAAATCTGGCAACCTATTGAACGGAGTTGAACTGAGAGAGCGTGCCGTTCACAGACACCAGAATGAACAAGTTCACAATAACGTTCATCAGGCAATAATGCAGTACGTTCAGTTCACGTTTGCCCAAAATATGAACGAGTTCATGAACTTTCATTCAATGAACGCGTTCAGGCACAACACTGGTTATCTATATGTACAGTTCTGACTAGTAGGAAATGAGTTTTGACCAGTAAGAATCTTATTTTAGAGATTAACAAATGGAACAATAGAGAGGACAGCGCTTCTATTAAATGGCAAAAAGGCCTGCCGACCCCAAGCTCACCGTCCAAACAGAACCGCTACTGATTGCCTGTCTGTGTCTGCAGGGCCGGAGGATCCTCGCAGCTTCGCACAATAAGTCCGCTCTGCTGTGGTGCCTGGATGACTCGGTTCCCAAGGTAACCAGGTCTACCTGGGCTTCAGTTTGGATGCGGTCTAATTAGAATCTGTGAATGAATAGAAGTTTGTGTTGGTCAGGTCACTCTGACGGGTCACAGCAGGAAGGTAACAGCAGCCAGGTTCACCTGCTCCCCCCACCAGGTGGTGACAGGAAGCACCGACCGGACCATCAGGCTCTGGGACCTGAAAAGAGCCGCCTGTGAGTGGCCGTCTGCTCTGGCCTCTGATTGGCTGAGACTGTGTGTGTCTAAGTCGGTCTGTGTCTGCAGGCTTGCAGCAGAGGGAGGTGGCATCATTTTGCAGCGACCTGGTGTGTTCTGAAAACAGCATCATCAGTGGACACTTTGACAGCAAGATCAGAGTCTGGGACTCCAGGTACCTCCTCTGAGTTTTCAACCATTTCTAATGAGGGTCCCAAAAACTTAGTCTGTCAGGATGGGAGTACCAATCTGGCTCTGCTTGTCAGGACGGTGAGCTGCGTTCAGGAGCTCCCCTCGCAGGGTAGAGTCACTTCGTTGGACCTGAGCTCAGACCGCCGCCAGCTGCTAAGCTGTTGCCGAGACGACTGCCTCCAGCTGGTGGACCTCAGGTGGAGCAACGACCGGATGTGCTTCAGGTAGAGCAGACCCAGTTCTGTTCGGAGGTTCAGTCAGGTGGGCGGAGTCCTGTTGGTAACAAACTGTGTTTGTTTCAGAGCTGACGGATTCAAATGTGGCAGCGACAGCACAAAGGCCGTCATCAGGTCTGTACCGCCGAACTGCTAAGCATCAGGGCTTTAACTAGATGAAGAAATCTGGAATGGAACTTCAAACACACAAACTAATCTCCACATACCCAATAAATCACAACCATGACTGGGCTTCTCTGGGCTCCTGGCTTTTTATGCTCCTGTAGGAAATAAACTACCTGTGATTGGCTACTTTTCAGGAAATCCCACCTGCATTGTTTCTTTCTAGTTGTGCTAATGAAACTTTCTATTAATGACAGGGATGGATGTTGGATATGAAGTCAGATGTCAGTTGTTGAAGTGAACGGCTATTAGGCCAAAGATGCTTTCTAACATTACTAGAAAGAAAACAGTACTATCTGAAGAGGCAGGATTCCCTGATAAGTAGCCAATCACGTGCAGAGGAAAGTGCTTTTCTCAAAGTGCGCATGGGGAATCGCTTTCAGTTGGGTGCGCTAAAATAAAATTGCTCTCGTGAATTTCTCTCTCTGCAGTCCAGACGGATGCTACCTGGCAGCCGGATCAGCTGACGGAGCCGTTTACATCTGGAACGTTTCCAAAGGGAACCTGGAGACCCGCCTCCAGGGCCAACACAGGTGATTGCCGATAATGTAAACCACACGTGTCGCACTTTGCCAAAAAAAGGCTTATTATGCCATAAAGTAGAGACTTAAGCCCCATTTACACTACCCTTGAAAAACCGAGCTCGGATCAGTTAACCAGGCCGAGCTCTGTTCTGACGACCGTTTACACATCACACTATCTCTGTTCCTCCACTCCTCGCCTCCTAGTGACGATCTGCAGTATTACTGCCAGTATTAAAGGAGGAAATCAAGCAGTTGGTGGCGGTAATGCACCAAAAGTTGTTTGCCAACCGCCATAAAACACAAGAAGAAGACGAAGAAGGAGGAAATCAAGCAGTTGGTGGCGGTAATGCACCAAAAGTTGTTTGCCAACCGCCATAAAACACAAGAAGAAGAAGACGAGGCGGAGGGAATCAAGCAAATAAAAATGGCGGCGGCCGTCACATTCAGAAAGTTATGCTTGATTATTATTGCTGTACTTCGGTGTTATTGTTTAAAATGCCATTATTTAAAATGTTGCATGGAGAAGATTTCGATTGTTGTTTATAGTTGAAGAAGAAGTTGTTCTTCTTCTGTTTCTGGAGGGGCATTACCGCCAACTACTGGAATTGAGTGTGAATCGGGATGTGCAGCCAGACGGAGATGACGCGTTCTGCTCATGTTATCAGAGAACCGAGCCAGGGAAAAACCGAGCCGAGCCCACCTCTGGAACTGGTCTGCAGTTAGCTCGGTCCGGTTGTGTCTAGCTCGGTTCAGTTCAGTTTGATTTCCTTTTACACACGATAAGTTATCTCAGTTACTGAGCTTGGCCCGGTCTCGGCACGGTTTTTCAAGGGTAGTGTAAATGGGCTATTATATTCATTTAAAGCATCCAAATTCCCTAAAACTGTGAAATGAGTTATGATACCAAAGTATGTTAGCTTTAACATAAATAATAAATGAAATCATGAAAGAAATTTTATTTTTACCTGTGAAACCAGGCCTTTTCAGCCCTTGATGAAGCAGAGACGGCGAATATAAAAATTAGTTTGAAAAACTTCATCTGTGGAGTTGGAGTCTGACACCTGATTTGTCAGTAGCCGTGTCCTTAGACAGGATGTGTTCTGTTCCTCTGGTAGTTCTTCCATCACCGCTGTGTCCTGGTCTCTCTCCGGGGAATACGTCGTCAGTGTGGACAGGAGCCGGCGGGCCGTATTGTGGAGAGACATCTGACCAATCAAATGGGCTTCCCTGCAGGGACTCCTCTGAACCGGCCAATCCAGCAGCAGCTACTGTTCTAATGGATCTGAGGGCTGTACTAAAGAACATTTGTGGGTTTTTAAGCTACATTTTGAGAGAATCAAAGGGAAGTTTAACCTTATTTTTTGTTTTCTCCCAGGACTGTGCACAGATTTAACAAAGGGAAAACAGATTTGATTAAAGGAACACTGACTCTTTTTTTTTTTTTTTTTAAAGGATAAACTTAATGAAAAAAAAACAAACCAAGTCTGACCCCTGCAGAAAAATATAATGGAAAAAAAATCTGAAAATAAAAGTGTTAAAAGCAGCTCAGAGGAAGGTGGCCACTGATCTGAATATTCAAGGGATTGCTGATTGCCTGAAAAAAGTGAAGCCAGCTGCAGGCATGTTGGTACTCCCCGCTCCCACGAAGATGCACAG